CCCGGCACCTGGGGGGGTGTATTGTTCATTATTTTCGACGATGCTGCCGCGCGCGGGCGGACCGGTGGTGGGAGGTGGGGGAAGGGGGCGGGGGTGCTTACGTATCGTTAACTCGCAGCGGGAAAACACAAAAGCGGCCGAAGAGCGGACGGCCACCCTGATATGGCGTATGGCCTCCTACCTGGCAGTCTGGCACACAAACACTGGGTAGACAACGGGGCTTGTGTTTGCCAGACCCTCCCGCCACCCTGGGGGAGGGGGAAGGGCTGCACCGGGCCGGGCCGGGCTGGGCTCGACGTGTAATTAGTGGGGACTTGAATAATACAACGTAATTTTGTGGTCGACGCCTCCGACGGTTCTAACGTCCGTTCACACGCATGCTCGGGAGTGCACTCATTGTCCGCCGAGGGAGGAGCCTGGCCAGCCAGGCCACCGCGATGATTAGGGTCTCGAAAGCGGTGTCGATACTATCGATGTTTAGGGTCGGCCGTGCCTAGAGCCCCGCCTCGACGTCGAAAGCGGTGACTTCGAAACGACCCGCCTTCCAATCGACAGTTAGATTTGATTAAATTTGCGGGCCAAAATCATCGACCATCGTAAGTAATATCTGTGACGATCGGCTAACTCGTATCGGCTCGATTTTCGATATCTCGAAGTCGATGAAGGGGCCAAGGCCGGGCCTTTTGAAATTCCCGGGCCGCCTGTCCGGCCCAGCGCAGGCAGGGCAGCCGGGGCAAGGGAGGCCCGCGCCCCATAAAAGAAACAGCTTTACGGGCGGTTTGGGCGGCGAGGCAAGCAGCCTGCAGGCGTAGCGCTGTCTCCGTCGCACTCACGGGGCGTCCCGTAGGCCCGCCGTAGGCCCGCCGGGGTGCGAGAGAGACAGAGCGAGGTCCTTCGGAGCCGCCGGGCCGGTGGGCCTGGTTTGCTGCGCTGTCACACGGGACAGGCCTGCAGAGCAAATGGTGCGTCTTACCTTAAGCGTTCTCCCGCGTGCCTCCATTTTGCAAGCCAACAACCAAACGGGAAAAGAAATCTCGTTTCCGCATTTTTTTTTCTTTTCTACTGCTATTGTGCTTTTGGAAGCGGGGTGGTGGTGGTTCCTGGAAATGCCAGGGCGTGCCAGGGCCGGGGCCGACGGCGCCTGTCTCCTTGTATCCGACAGCCGCGTTAAACATGGCCGAGGCGGGCGGGGTGGCAGCGAGGCAGCGTCGGAGGGCTGTATGAGCGATGAGTGTCAGGGCGCGGCACGGCACGGCAGGGCGCGGCACGGCACGGCAGCAGTGATTCAGTTATTCGCGGCTTCGCAGCTAGGCGGCGTTTTCAGACTCGGCATTCCGATTCCCAGGGCGAGCCGTTCGCGGCCGTTCCATCGCCGCACCGCCGCAACACGTGACGACGCGGTCGCGTGGGGGAGTGGAGTGGAGCACCCCGCGCACAGTGGGCCAGAAGACCGGTTTGAGGCGGCCAAAACTCTAGACGCATTCTGAGCTCCAGAGTCGCTAAACAGGACTCGAACCGAACGTGCGACCCCACCAATGGATTCCTCGTTCGGAGAGCAATCCATTGGTGGGGTCACAGGTCACACGTTCGGTTCGAGTCTTGTTTAGCGACTCTGGAGCTCAGAACGCGTCTAGAGTTTTGGCCGCCTCCACCGGTCCTCTGGCCCACTGTGCCGCGGCCCCCCGCGGATCGGATCCACGAGAAGGTCGCCGCAGTTTCATCCGGCCGGACACACTGTAGACTGAATCCGAGAGTCGCCCTCGTCGCTCCGCCCCGCGCGCACCTATAGGGGACACCCCATGAGTGCGAGGGAGACAGAGCGACGAAAACGACTCGCGGATTCAGTCTGCTGCTGCAGGCAGGCTGTGTTATCGGAGTTGTGCGGCGCTGCGGTTTAACCAGTGCGTTGCGGCTAAATTAGCAGTCGATAAGAAAAAAAAAGAAACATTCAAACTTTTAGTGCGCGAGCGAACGCGTCGGGAAAGTTTGCTCCGTCCGCGCGCATATTTGCGTGCATATTGGGCAATATTGGGCCATGATATCCCCGCGCGCGGCTGGCGCGGCGGGCGCGGCGCTCTCCCTCCAGGGCGTCGGCGGGCCCCACACCGTACCCGGGGATCGGGTGTCGACGGCAACGCGCGGCGACGTCAGAAGCAGACCAGGTAAATCGGAGACGGGACGCCCTTGGCGGGGCCGCAAGGAGACCCGCGAAAATCTGCCACACCTTTTGCGGTGTCTGGGCCGCGCGGCCGCGGGGGCTTGCCGCCAGGCGGCCGGACGCCACCGAGTTAATGACGCGAAGGGAAGGTTGAAAAAGTGGAAGGCCGAGGGGAGGGGTATGGGGGAGAGGCCGACCTCAAGGTGCCAACAGAGGGATTATCTCGCTGGGACCTGGAGCGTGGCTGGAGCGTGGCTGGAGCGTGGCTGGAGCGTGGCTGGAGCGTGGCTGGAGCGTGGCTGGAGCGTGGCTGGAGCGTGGCTGGAGCGTGGCTGGAGCGTGGCTGGAGCGTGGCTGGAGCGTGGCTGGAGCGTGGCTGGCAGCGTGGCTGGAGCGTGGCTGGAGCGTGGACTGGAGCGTGGCTGGAGCGTGGCTGGAGCGTGGCTGGAGCGTGGCTGGAGCGTGGCTGGAGCGTGGCTGGAGCGTGGCTGGAGCGTGGCTGGAGCGTGGCTGGAGCGTGGCTGGAGCGTGGCTGGAGCGTGGCTGGAGCGTGGCTGGAGCGTGGCTGGAGCGTGGCTGGAGCGTGGCTGGAGCGTGGCTGGAGCGTGGCTGGAGCGTGGCTGGAGCGTGGCTGGAGCGTGGCTGGAGCGTGGCAGGAGTGAGAGAGACACCCCACAAGGTCATCGAGGAGGCGAACGGACCGCCTTGAGGATTCGTTTGAAGTGCATCGGTCCGGTCAGCCGAGCGGGATCAGACGACGGTGCGGACAGGACAACCAGCGCCATGTCTCTCTCGCACTTCGAGGCGCCCCGTGCGTGCGCGAGAGAGACGGTCCGAAACTTGGAGCCAGTCCGCAGTGCCACAAAACACGAGTCGGTCCGGGGGCCGGCCCGGGGGCAGCCCGGGGGCAGGCCGGCAGGGACTGAGCAAACCTGTTGTCCTGCCAATCTCATTGTCTCGAGGACGGCGGCGTCCACTCTCCGAGATCCAGCAGTCGGAGTCACGAAGCCCGAAGTGGCTCGGCCATTGGCTGTGGCTCCAAGTGGCCCTGCCGGCGACCCTTCGAGAACCTGTCCCTCGCCGCGACGGCCGCGGCCTCGCGGAATACGCTCAACAAGTTTCCGTCTTCCCCCCGCAGAGGGGCGGATCATAAATTAGAGAAACGGCCTGGAGGCAGTCTTCAGGGCCGCGCCGGCCGCGCCTGGGGCGGCTGGGAACACGCCCTCGCTGTCGCGCTGTCTCTCTCGCACTCACGTCTAGTGACGGACCGCGGCGTTCGGACGCGGCCTCGGCAAAGGAACCCACACAGGAGCGGCATTCGTAATTAATGAACGCCCCCTCGGCCTGCCGGAGATGGAACCGTCGTCTCTCTCTCGCACTCATGGGACGCGCCGCGCTGGTGCGAGAGAGACAGAGTGGGGACGGGTGGCGACTGCTGGAGACGCAGACATAGTGACGACGGTGTTGTCCAGCCGTCCCTTCAGCCCTCCAGCTGAGAGATTCCGAACGCTGTTGTCTCGCTCTGTCTCTCTCGCACCCGTACGGCACGCCGCGTGAGTGCGAGTGAGACAGAGTGACGAAAGCAAGGCTAGCCGTCCAGCCTCCAGGGCGTCAGGGAGCGTCCGGCGATTACCTGAGACCCTCGACCTATTCCAGCGCCCAAAGAACAGAAATTTGTCATCCAGACGTCAAATGATATCAAAGAATGGTCAAAATCCTGTTTGTCAGAATGACATCATTGTCGACGGTCAAAGTTAGGGAATTTTGACGTCAAGTTGATGTCAAATGATGTCACGAATCCATTAAATGTATAAAGGATACGACTCTACTCATCGGCTGATATCCCTGTTTAGTTGTCCCGCCTATGTGTGGTAGTAGTGTCTCCCTCCGTTAAATGTCGAAAGTCGCTCCGTGGCCGGCGGACTCGAACCCACGTCTTCGGCTTCGGGGGCGAGCTCTTTACCACTGCGCCACGAAGACATCTAAAGATCGACTGCTCACCGCTGCTCTAAGACCAGCGGTCGGAATCTGCCGGCAGTTGACTCGAAAGTGACGGCAATCTTTGGGATGAAAAATGTCTGGTATTTTCCACTTCATCACCCGAACGCGATAGACTTTCCAGAATACCAGAGAAGTCTGAATTTTTCACCGCAATTGCTGATTAAATGCGTTCATGGATGACATCAAACGGACGTCATCGTGACCAAGTGTACTCCAAGATCTTAACTTCACAGGTTATCGCCAGTTTACCTCTTTTCCAAATGGCGTACGACTTTTTGAAAGGAATAATGCAATTCCAGTTAGTTTTGCTCGTAGTTTGTAATGAGTCAAATTGACATCATCCTGATGTCACCTTTCAAGAGAGTGACTAAATTTTGTCATTTTTCAGTCACTTGATGTCAATGTGACTATTTCTGTTCTTTGGGCGCGTTCATCAAGACCCCGGAAAGGAGGGGGGAGGGGCGTTTAGTTTACACTGGTAAAATAAGAGGAAGGAGAGCATCGATTGAGTGAACACACTGAAAAATGTTTTTGGCGCGAAATTCTGTTGCTGATTCACGCTTCAGTGGTATGCATGTTACGTCAGCACAAATTAGAGACAGCACGGGCAAACTAACTGATGGTTGTTGTCAGAGCCGTGACACTTTGCTTTTCGCGGTGGATAGTTTACCCCACTTCCTGCTTGTGATTATCCAACACGCCCCCCCCCCCCTCTCTCTCCCTCTGCGGCGCGGGCGCGGTCACCGCCCCGCCGCTCGACCGCCGCCGCGCGCCGCGGCCCGGCGAAACGAAAACGAAGCAGAACGAAACGATTCCCGCAGTTGTTGAATGATCGACTTACTTGAGGTCAAACACTGGCGACTGGCCGGCTGGCCGTCGCTTCAACAGTTGGTGCTGGCTGGCTGCCTGGCTGCCTCCGCGGCCGCGGCCTCAGAACAGCCGACCGCGCCGGCCGCGCGCGCCGCATCCTCGCCGCGGACAAGACGGCCGAGACGGCCAGGTCGGGGTGGCCGGCGTCCCGGGGCGCCGGGGGCGGACGTCTAGCGGCGCCGCGGCCATGGGGGCCTGGATGGGGGCCTGGGTGTCGTCCTCGACCCTCCCCGTCGACGGCCACCCGATGCACCCGGGCCTTGTCTTCGTCGGCGTGGTCGCGGTGCTTGCCGGTGCGCGCGTGGACGAAACGGCGGGATATTTTGAGAATTTGGCTGTCGCTGACGGCCTAGTCAGTGCGAGAGTCGACGACACGCTTTGTCGCCGCGTGGTGCCGCGTGGTGCCGAGGGGCGGCGTGGGCGCGAGCTTCGGGGAGGCCGGCTGGCCTCGGTACAGCGGCAGCAACGGGGGGACGCACACTGCTGCGCGAGCCAGCGAGCGTCCGACGGGGCCCCCGGCAGCCCCCGCCGTCCGCGCGCCGCCAGCCCGCCCGCCCCTCCCCGCCGCGCCCCACCCCTCCCCACCCCTGTCTGTCGACAGGACGCAACCCCGACAGTGTGTGTGTGTGTGTGTGTGTGTGTGAGCGTGTGTGAGCGTGTGTGAGCGTGTGGAGACGTGAGGCGTCATTGAAAACTGACTGATTGAGTTTCATGGAAATTGAATCAGTCTGATTGGCCGGCGCCGGGCTGCGTGGAAGTGGAAGTGGGGAGCTTCCACGCGGCTTCCTTCAAGGCACGAGGCTTGCTTGAAGGGTTTGAGGGGCGCGGGGGAGGGGAGGGGAGGGGAGCGCGCTTCCTCATTTTGAATTATATTATTTCGCGCGCTCCTTGTGATGCCGAGGTTGAACGCAACTTTTTGATGAACAGTGGCGGAGCTAGTCGTACCGCCGGAATAATTATTCGAGTTCCTTCCCCGAGGTGCTGCCTTGGTGTGGCGTGGCGTGGCGTGGCGCGCCGTGCCGCGCCGCTGCTTGTCTGCTGCGGGCTGTTAGTCCGCGACGTGCTCGACGTGCTCTTGACTGGCGCGCGGCGCGCACAACCGCCGCGTATGAAAAACTTTCGAGGCGGCGAAAAGGCGGGGTGCGGACTTTACGACGGCTGGACGGTATTGGCGGGACCGATTTACAAAGCGAGCCGCTTTATTTGACGAAGGTGGCTTATCGAAGCTCCCTCCCTCCCTTTTTTTCACTTCCCCTTCCCCGTCCGCCCGCCAAAGGGATCCGACCACAGGGAACCCCCCGCAGAGCTGCAGGCTTAAACCGCTGAGCCATTCAAAGTAGCCGATTTTCCTCCCCCCCCCTCAAATTACCGCGCGCCAATGCGAAGTACAGTGTCGCTCAAAAGACTTGTCGATGCCGAAACGCACCCGCGCCGAAGCCAGGCGAAGCCAGCCGAAGCCAGCCGAAGCCAGCCGAAGCCAGCCGAAGCCAGCCGAAGCCAGCCGAAGCCAGCCGAAGCCAGCCGAAGCCAGCCGAAGCCAGCCGAAGCCAGCCGAAGCCAGCCGAAGCCAGCCGAAGCCAGCCGAAGCCTCCAGGCAAATGCCGAGTCGTTGGCGGCAGTCGAGGACTTGAGGACCCCTCGCCCTGATTGGCGGATTATACACCGGCCGAGGATTCAGGACGCGCCACCACTGTTTTTGCCGAGGCAGTGATTAGGTTTTTGTTGCCGTCGTGGTGGCCGCGGTGGTGGTGTTGTTGTTGTTTTTCGCGACTACATTTAGTTACACGCCACCCGCGGGCCTCGGCGTCGTGTGCTTCCCAGCAACGACTCTCCCCTCCCCTCCCCTCCTCTCTCCTCCCCCCCTCCCCTCCACCCCCTCTCTCTCTCCAGTCTCTAAGAGGCGCTTCGCGCTCACGGAGTCCCCGGGGAGCGACCGGAAAAGCATGAGAAATGAAGCCTCTGTTTCCAATACTTTCCGGCAGAGTTCCATCTCGTGGATTCCGTGACAAACACACCGGGGCTGCGGGCGGGAAGGGGCTTGCCGGAAGAGGCCCTCAAGGCTGCCGCCAAGGCCGCCGCCAATAGGCCGCCGTCAAGGCCCGCGGCGAGGACGGCGTCGAGCGGCGGTAGCGGTGGCGGTCCCGGGGGAGGCTGGTGATGCATCGCGATCTGCAGGAGCGTGTACAAAGTTGAGGGAAGCCATTTCGGCAGAGTGGTGCGGAGCGCGCCGAGTCCTTCCCGCGCCGTCGGCAGCGACTCGACTCCGCGTCGTGGCGCAACGCGCAGCGCACGACCTGCAGACTGATTCCGAGAGTCGTTTTCGTCGCTCTGTCTCTCTCGCACTCATGGGACGTCCCGTATGGGTGCGAGAGAGACGGAGCGACGAAAACGACTCTCGGAATCAGTCTGCTGGCGGTAAGCAAGCGGAGGCTGGGGGCGCGTCTCTAACGCGTTAGAGCCGGCAGGCGTAGAATTCAATTATTTTCCTCGGCGAGGGGCGGCGGGGCGCGGGGAGGGGAGGGGGAAGGGCGTTTAAAAGCGAAGCTTGCTGCACGTCCATGGGGCGACGCGTTCAGGCGAACTTGAAGGATGTCGGAAGCGGGGCGGAGGCGCGTCGTCGGGACAGTGTGAATTTCAAGTGACACGAGGGCAGGGGGAGGGGGGGGGGGAGCGACGCAGACCGCGGTAGTACCGAGACGGAGGCGGAAAAACAGAAAAGTACTCGCCTAACGGCGGCTGGCAGTGTACCCGACCACGTGGAGTAGCCCCAAGTGGAGGGCGCGCCGCGCTGGAGTCCGAGCGAGGGGCGCGGCCACTGGCTCAACTTGGCTCGCCGTCGTTACGACAAGCGTGACGACAAGAGTGGCGATGGCGGTTTACGGTGCGGGCGGCGGCACGCGAACTGTAATCGTGTTAGGCCGCGCGGTTGCCAGGACATCCAGGACATCCAGGACGCTTCGAGCGCTGCGAGCGCCTGCCAGCGGCGGGGTAGGCAGCCGGCCGCACTCACCGGCCGCCCCGCTGGCGACCTGCTCGCCGGGTACACTGTGCCGAGGCCAAGCGCCAAGCGGCACGTTCCGGCCCCGCGTCCCGTCAAAACAACTTGACCTGACGATGTAGCGGCGGCGCCCCGACGCCGTGACGCACACCGCGAAGAAAAGCGGCTTTTCCCGAGCGTCGAGCGTCGGGAACGTTTCTCTGTGTTCCTAGCGTGTGTTTCACATCTCGTGAACAGTGGGCAGCGCCGCATTCAGCAGTTTGAACGTCTCCGCTTTCGGCGCTTTCGGCGCTTTCGGCGCTTTCGGCGCTTTCGGCGCTTTCGGCGCTTTCGGCGCTTTCGGCGCTTTCGGCGCTTTCGGCGCTTTCGGCGCTTTCGGCGCTTTCGGCGCTTTCGACGCTTTCGGCGCTTTCGGCGCTTTCGGCGCTTTCGGCCCTTTCGACGCTTTCGGCGCTTTCGGCGCTTTCGGCGCTTTCGGCGCTTTCGGCGCTTTCGGCGCTTTCGGCGCTTTCGGCGCTTTCGGCGCTTTCGGCGCTTTCGGCGCTTTCGGCGCTTTCGGCCCTTTCGGAGCGCGACATGGCGGGGCGCTTCCGTCGGGGTGTCGCTGCGTTGCTGGGCGCAGGCGGCGATGGCGGCGCTGGCGTGTCGGCCAGTGTAGGCACTGCTGCCACGCGGCGGAAGTGCGACTTGACCGCCAGCAGATTTACTGCGCGCTGTGCGTGGTCATGGTCATGGCAGTCATGGCGACGCCGGGCCGTCAGGGCCGCCAGGGCAGCGAGGCGGAAGCCAGGAAGCGTCCACCATTATGCACTGCATTGACGGGGCGGGCCACCAAGGCACTGCCGTCGGCGTCGAGGTCGCCGTCGTCACCGTCGTCGTCGGGCACCGGGACGTCGTCGTCTGTCACCAGGACGCCGTCGTCGGTCACCAGGATGCCGTCGTCGGTCACCAGGACGCCGTCGTCGGTATCCAGGACGCCGTCGTCGGTCAGCAGGACGCCGTCGTCGGTGTCCAGGACGCCGTCGTCGGTGTCCAGGACGCCGTCGTCGGTGTCCAGGACGCCGTCGTCGGTGTCCAGGACGCCGTCGTCGGTCACCAGAACGCCGTCGTCGGTGTCCTGGATGCCGTCGTCGGTCACAAGGACGCCGTCGTCGGTCACCAGGACGCCGTCGTCGGTCACCAGGACGCCCTCGTCGCCGTGTTCGGGGACCTGCCTGGGGCAGGTTTATCGCTGGGGGTGGCGAGGTCGCCCCCCACGGCACCCCGCACAGCGTTGCACAGCATGGCCCCCGTGTCGGAGCTCTTTCAGCGGGGTCTGCGATCGGCCGATGGCGACCGGTGACCACACCTTGGAGGGCCATCCGTCCGATAGGTGACAGCCACTCGGAGGGGACGCGCCCGCTGGCCAAAGGGACTGCTGCACGTCAGCCCGCGCGCAGCGGTGGGGCGGGGTGGGGTGAGGGGCCCGGAGGGGGGGGGGGGCAGTGCGGGTGGCTAAGCGTCGGAATGGACTCGAGCGGTGGTGCTCCTACTCCCTGGGTGCGCATTTCTCCCGGCCGACAGTCGGAGATGCACGCAGCGCAGTGCAGTGCCTCGAGCTTGTTGTACCGAAGGAGGCGCGCAGCAACGCGTCTCCTTTTAGAATAACAACAAGCCAATATTTGGTCTGCATCAACCTTCCGCTTCTGTCGCAGAGAAGCGTGGACAGTGTGCGTCGTCGTGGCGAGTGGCGGGAGTGGCGGGCGCCGAGGGGGTAAACACTCCACGAAATCGTGTACAGAGTACTCGGTATTACGCGGTATTACGGGGACATTACACGTGCATTACGGCACTAAAATGCCAAAATTTGGCATATTTAGCCCCAAAATGGTATTGCAATTACGTGTATTACGCGTAATACACGATTTTTGTGTACCCGGCGGGTGCCCGGCGGTGTCCCGAGGGGGTAACCACTCGCGTAATACCCTGTACACAAAAACCGTGTATTACGCGTAATACACGTGGTCGTAATACCTTTTTCGGGTCAAATGTGCCAAATTTTTGCATTTTAAGGGGGGAGACTCGTCTTTAACACAAAAATTTTAACAAATTTCAGGCTTAA